AAAAAACAAATTTAAATTAGAAAGTGTTCAAGTAAATGTTTACTTTACCGCTAGGCTCTCCGTTTGTTATCCGCGATCGGCTGCCGATCCAACTGAATTCACATTTCCTTGGCTAATTTTCTCGCATTTTTTCATTTTTTGTTGACAATTTTGGAATTCTCAGAAGCAAAGACTTTGTTTTCTTCGGGGAGAACTGACATATCCGTTTTTACTGTCTGAGAAAGTCAGTGATGTTTCATGACATTCATTTACCGAGTTGTTTTCTAGCATGATAGCGACTACGGAGGTGGAGGCACGACATGCCATTCCAGGATGTTCGTACAGCATCCACTCGAGTAGCATTGATGATCTGGATGCTGGTCGACCAGCTGGGCCTGTGATCAAGTTTGCAGGAGTTGGTGACCGAGTACTTCATCAGTGGCACTGCGATGATCGTAAGAAACAGTTTTATTTTACCTATTCGTGTGTCCTTCCTACCAGAGTTTTTGAAGCGAATTAGAGCTGAATACAGTGCAGGAGCTAATCATCATCAGCTCCCTTACATGCTTAATCGACCTTATTGATAATGCTAAGTGAGAGTAACAGAAAATGATGTACCAGTCGAACCACCGAAGATTACGGCAGGCAGAACATTACGGTTGGCTGTTGCACTGAAGCAGTGTCCAGTGAATTTGTTTTTCAGAAATGTTTGGAATACTCATCAACAATTGCTATGTCACTGACGGATTCGGCAAGCGTGCTGAAGTTATTGATTCCAAAGGGTAGTTGTTATGACAAAATTTTGCAAGTCCTAGCTGATAGTTTCACGCCGCTTTAATACTTCGCCCCAGTACTGCTTTTTAACAAATTCTAAAAAATAGAACAAATTAGTTCTTTTTGCCTGCTACGAGCAGTAGTTTTTCCCACCGAAGTAAAAGTGAAATGATTGTTAAATTCATGCAAAGTGACAAGTCCTGGAAGGTCACACACAATTGCTTCCGGAAAAAAAACCTGAGCAAAGAGACTTCATTTTTTTGCATCAAAAATCTTAAAGAGCCAGCGCGAGGAAGGAAGCCTCATTTTTTCAAGGGTAACCAACGTTCTGTTTTACTTCCTATTTTACTAGAAAGTGAAATTTGATTTTTCGGCAGTGTGACCTAAAACTATTTGAATGAAAAAGGATGTTGTGCTGCTGCAGATGTTCGCTTGATCCAATTTTGATCACCGGAATACGCTACTCGTCGGATCTGCAACGAGCATATGCGGAAAGCATGGTGTTCAAATTCGCAGATCGTCCAGGAGTTTGGTTTTTCTGTCAGATACAAATGTGCATGAAGAAATCAGGGATGTGCGATGGAGTTACGGTGAATTTTTATTGTAAAACAATGAAATTTGCTGTAGTTGGGATTGTAAAAAAGATCAGCAGACTTGTAGCAAATTTTTTGTTAAATAAAAATTTGCTGCAGCCACCCTCATGCGCTTCGCAAGCAGAAAAACCTGAAATTCGTTATATTTCGGAAACAGAGCAACTGGAAACCCTAGAAAAAATGGAAACCACTGCGACGGTAACAACAAAGCCGCCGACCAGATATGTTATAAAAGCACAAAAGCCTGGACCAGTTACAACAGAATTCGGAAATGCAATCGAAGAAACAGTGGCTGGCGAATATTTGGAAGAGAGCACAAAGTAAGATTATTAGTTCTGCAATTTTTTAAAAAAAATTTTGTTTTGCTAATAATTTCAAGCTATTGCATAAGCTGATTTTAAAATGATATATTTAGTGGTACTGGTATCCTTAGTATGTATTTAAAATGATATATTTTGACAGAATTGGTATTGAAAATGAAATGTCTTTTGCAGAGTTGATATTGAAAGTATTAAAAAAATTAAAATCGCTTTTGTTTTGTTTCAAAATACGAAGAAATAGCGATTCCACTTTATCTTACTCTTCAAACCTGCCACTTTTTTGATTTTCCAGATTTGCAACGCAAGAAATGAAAATTAAAAATTCCAAATTTATCTCTGAGTTTTTTAATTTTTAGCCCACTGCCTGCATATCGCAACAGTGATTCAATGGAGGTTGACGAACGCCTACAAACTGACAGTAGAACGTCCACTGAATCTTCATTTCCTACAACAGCAGCACGATACGATTCAGAACATCGATTACGGAGAGTTCATCCAAAAAGTACCACTCCACCACGCATAAAACCTGTAATTATTTTAATTTTTAATGCAATTTTTAATCTTCTTAAAGTGTCTTCGCCATCGACTTGCTTCTAAGCAGCCTCGGAAAAAGGATCCATGGGCATTTTTGCTACCGGATAGTTGCTTTAGTATTTTCTACACTTTCAAGACTTTTTGCCTAATATAAAGAGTGAATAGGGAGGAGTTTTTTTGAGCACATTCTTTACTTATTTAGGACAAAAAACTCATAAAAAATTTGTTGTGTGTAAAAGTTGTTAAGATTAGGAACGCATTTTATTGACACTAAATTGTCTAGAGAATTCAACAGCAAAAAAATAAAAGAATTTTGGGCGGGGGTCTTTACTTTGGGCGTCATCTTTTTTGGAGTTCTTCTCGGCTGTCCACAAGAAAAAAGCTTAGAGACGCCCTGGAATGACACAACTAACTTCCTTTGATAACAGTTCCAAACTATACTGTTATGCTTTGACCGTAAGACTATTAGAAACTCGGTTTGTCGTTATAATCTACAGCTTTATGAGTATCAGTAATTGGATATCAGATTTTGATAATTTGTGTTTTTCTATAGATAGCCAGGTCTAGATTTTGTTAGTATTCTCGAACAATGCAGGGCACGTGCAATTTCTAGGTTGTTATAGCTAATTCCAAAAAGAAGCAACGAAAAAAGGCATTGTGAAAAATTATTTCTTAATAGTTTATAAAGTAAAGTGAAGGTTCTAGCTAACTTTTGCACACTCATGGTCAACGAAACGGAAGGTAGTGAATGCTCAGCACACATTCTGCGGACCATAGCAATTTGTAGAGGAAATGCGTGATTGAATTGCTACTTTCGTCTTTTTCTCCCTTGCGAGTAGCTATTCTTCATTATAGTTAATACCAGTCAACGACAGATTTGAATAATGCAAGTTATTTTTAGGCAGTTGTAACAACAGTCTTTGAAACAGAAGAGTATCGCGATGCGCAAAATTCTGCCGGAAGATTGCCACAGAAACCTGCTCGTGTTGTGCAGAAATGTAATTTTTTTGTAATTTTAACAATGCCTTGATATTTTGATTGGCTACAGTTCGTAGCATGATTCTCCAACTATACAGTTAGTAATTTTTTCAGTTGTTCTAACCAATACTGCGTCGCCTGTAGGACAGCCTACTCGTGATACTGACCTTTATTTTGTGGCTTGAAGGGCTTTATTCTCGAAAAGCAAAAATAATTGGCATAGCCCCAGGTCATTTTGAGATATCACTGGTGTGTTTTAAGCACCATTACCTCGCTATAAATCTTGTCACTCACGACGAGACACCTAACAACTGCGACGAAGATTTCCTTTTTTAAAAATTTTTAAGCGGAATATTTCACTTAGTTAGTAAGTAAGAGAGGAATAAAGCTTCAAGAATTAAAAGCATACAGTTCACCAAAGAACAGGCTTCAGAAAAAACAAAAAATCATATGATTCGAGATATATTCACAGTTTTTTCACTGAAATGGTTCAGTTTAGATGGCTATACAGAACCCAATTACGAGGATATCACTATTCCTCCAAATTTAAATGAACTCCTGGCTAATCTACCAGACGATGTCAATGCCGATTCGCTGCAGAAAATGTTTCGCGATTCAGTTGCAGACCGGCGGGCACTAATGCAAGGCTTCGATTACCTCATGAGTCAGGTATCTATGAAATATATTTAAATCGATAAAACCACCAAAATAGCCTAATAATCAGTGTGAGAGTACCATGTTAGTAAGTTTTTTTTACTATGAAAACCCCGTGCAGCTGTGCCAAGCCATTCCGATTTAAACTGGATGCTTCCACTCAGTCCTCTGTTTGATGAATGTCATAAAAAATTCTTCCAAAGCCAGCCAAGTGGTCTTTTATTTCCTCGTGGACACTACTAATTGAAAGCGACTTATAACAGCTGCTAGCACATTGGGTTTATAATCTGTATGACTCTTTAGGTACGAAAAAAATTTCTACAAACCCAGAGTAACAAATCAAAACTAGAAGATTAACGGGTAGGAATGTACTTGCGGACTTAGCTTTCATTTGATTCTTTTTTTGTTGTTAATTGATTTGCTTATCTTTTTAAGTTCGATCTTCAAGAAGATGTTAATATTTTATATAATTCATAACTGTTTTATAGATGAGCGGAAAAGAGCTTACGAATGAGAGCGACAAAACATCGTCGAACGTACGGATCCCGAGACCAAAGCTTAAGCGGGGAGATATAATTGATAAAGTACAGGTATTAGTTGTTTTATTACTTTAGTTACATCAAAAGAAATCAAAGAAGGAGGAGGTGGGAGGGGTTGCTAAACTCTTATGGCCCGTCTGTAAAATTTCAAAAAATAATCAGTTCGATGGAGAAATGGCTTTTACG